AAAAGAAAAGAAAAGAAAAGAAAAGAAAAGAAAAGAAAAGAAAAGAAAAGAAAAAGAAACTGTCATTTGTTTAAACCCCAATAGCCATGAGTCTGCTGTTACCTGTAGTGGATACATTCCTAACTGACAAAGACACAGTTCAAATCCCAGTTCTCCACTAGCTGTATAATCCTGAGCAAACTGCTTAATTTAAGTTTAAACTTTCTTTCTGAAAAATGGGGATATGTGAAATATCTTATGTGGTTATTGTACATGTATTGTGGATGAAAGGTGATAATGCATAAGAAGTTCTTTTCACAATGCCAATAACACTATAAAAACAACAACAACAAAGCTGCTGTTATATTGCTTAGGTTGTACACTATAAACTGAAAGCTCTAGGTAGGAAGCGAGACCGTGCTTGTTTTTGCATAGACGTACGAGTTTCTAGGAGCTCTAAAGTGAATAAACTTAAGAATCAAAGAAAAGCAAAATATGTATAAAAGAGGAAATACAAAAAAATTTAAATCCAGCCCAGATGGGCATGGCTCAGAGGCTGAGCATCGACCTCGGATCCAGGCGATCAGGGTTCAACTCCCAGTCAGGGCACATGCCCAGCTTGCAGGCTCGATCAATGACTCTCTCATCATTGATGTTTCTATCTCTCTCTCTCCCTCTCCTTTCCTCTCTCCGAAATCAATAAAGGTATATATATATTTAAAAAAAAAAAAAAATCCATATTATATTTCAAAGATCAGAACTAACAAATCCTTACCAGATGGCATTTCTTATTTGTTTTCTTCTTCAAACCACAATTACAAACAAAACTAATAATAACTACCTCTCCTTTTGTATCTTACTTGGTTGTGGTTCTGCCTCTGCTGTGCGACTCGGCTGTCCTCCACTGCTCTCAGGTAATCTAATGGGGCTGCTACTCTTTGGTCTGCTGTCTAAAGCACTACAACAAAAAAACAGAAGAAAAGTTGGTTTTATACTATTCAGACAGAAAACAGCAAGTACTCTGATTCCTGCATTAATCTACTGCCACCTACCTCACTCACAATATAAATCTGATTTATAACTTACATAAACAAGTTAGAACATGGAAGAAAAAGTCTTCAAATGTCTATTGGACTTAAGAAAAAGAAAGCAAAATGTTATAATTATAAATGTATGTGGAAAAATATATGAAAGTGTAAGTTTTAGTAATATTTTCTCCAAGTCCATTAGAGTTATATTAGCACCTGTAAGTCAAACAATTACTGGAAATACCAGTTTCCTATTTCTCATGCTAGTCAACATAATATATAATTCAGATAAAATTTAATCACATTAGTAAAGCTGGAAAACCTATTTCAGTAAGAATCAAAATAATGAACCTATGACAATTTCTACCCAAATGTCTAGAATACTGAACATATTAAAAGAACCGGTTTTGACGAATGTTTTGTTTTAACTATGAGGTTCTTATCTATTATAGAATGTTCACAAATATTTTAAATTACAAAGACAAACAGTTGCTTACTAATTTCACAAGTTACTACTTTTTAAGTGAAAACAAAGAGAATTAAAAATGTTGGAAGTTTAAATCTGCACTACACATTGAACTTCAATGGCAACCATCAGAAAACAGAATCCAAAGAAACAGTTTAAGATCTTTTGCTATACTTGAATTTTGTTCCATCAATTATTAGCTAAAGTACAAGTGCGTATCCCAGAAACTTTCATATTGATAAAACTGAAGTATGAGAATTTAGAAAATGATGGCACAGCTAAATTAAAAGACTCCACTCAGTCGCAGATCACCTATTTGTTGGAAGTCCTTCTTCAGCACTGTTCCGCGGGCTCACTTTGGACAATTCCTCTAAGGCATTTCGGTATTCTTTACAACTTAGGGTAGAAATAGGTTGAAGAATGTTAAATGTTAAGCTCCCTTTTTAAAATAAATCATATACTTTCAAATAAGTTTTGCATTATAAAAACACAATCATTGTAAGTATTCATAATTAAACAAACACATTTAACTAACAAAAGTTATCAAGCAGAAACTTCATGAAGAAGGTCTATGTCTTCAGAGAAAAATACAAAATACAACCCAAACACCAACCAGTATCAATATCCTAAAAAAGGACTGTGAAAGACTACATACTAACATTTAAATCCAACACTTGCAGCGGCTGAACAGCTGATTTAAAAGTATGAAGCCTCAGGGTTTAGTTTAATAGAAAGGAAAGGAGTCTGAGAGCGTTTTTCAATTTTGAGGTCCTAAACGTTACCCAAAACATTTTATGTTGCATTGGCCAAAAAAAAAAATCCAACTCTGGGACCCCTGATTTAGATAAATCAAATGTCAGGGAACAGTAGTTCTTTGTGGGCATAGAAATGTTTAAGGCATATTACTCTCAGTAAGAAACCTTACCTGCTCTGTGTGGGAAGCAGTATGGAAATGAATGAAGAGCACACAGAAAGATACTCAGATGATACATGGCAGATGCGTTCTAAATATTACGTCAATAAGTAAACTGAAGGAAGGGATATGACAGATACATACTATAATACAGAAAATGGTTAGAGGCTATACGGACAGTAAATAGCTTGCCTAGTCAATTTAGTTATTAGGAGCTTGTTAAGAATTATCCTATAATTACTGGGAAAAGAGTACATTTTCAGATACAAAGATTTAAGTTATCACGCTCAAAACATATATGTGTTTACTTATATTCAATCATTTTGCTTTATTCTATGTGACAGGTTTCTACAATAAGGCAATTAATAAATATGTATAAAATATTAAAATATAACCATAGGTAAGAAAGCCTTATGAATAATACCTGAGAGCAAAAGCAATGATGGAGCTGGGTTCCTTCTCACAGACTGCAATGGGCACCCGTTCATGTTCATACATTAAGTAGTGTTTATCTGGATCACTGTTCAAAATTTTCAAATACATAAATAAGTAAGGCAAAATTAGCACAAAATTAAATATACAAACAATTAACACATTTCAAGTAAATCTCAGGGCAATCTTAACCACATCCTGCACAATTACAGGAATAATTAACCAAGCCAAAATGTACGCAGAACTCAAACCAAACAGCCAAAGAAAATATAGCAACAGAAAATTTTTGAAGGCAATTAAAATTATCAGAATTAGTTTTCAAATCAGAGGGTTCTGAATAGTCACTGCAAACAAAGCTTTTCCACACTGCCAAGACTTTAGACCATATTTATCTCAGTTAGGATTTACAATGAACAGCACAAGTGTAAAGGATTTTGTCCTACTATAAGCTTGAAAGAAAAGCCTTCTAGGAATTGTGGAAACATAATACTAGTCCAACAAGAAATAACTTAACACCATTGCTCTCCTATCAGCACATGTAAACTCAATTATATGACTCCTTTTTAACCCAAATCTTGCTCCCCCAACTTCCACCCTAAACCCCCTACTGAAACATTCATTCATTTGTCTAACAGGTATTTACTGAGCACCTAATGTGCAGGAGACACAGTATTAAGAAAAACTACTACTAAGCACCAACATGTGCAAGATGATGATAATACAATAGTGAAAAAAATAGGCATGGCAGAGTTTACAGTAGAGGAAGGTAAAGAAACAAGTAATTCTATAAAAAATATAATTACCTTCTGTGCTAAGTGCCACTGAAGGAATCATAAGCATGTATAACAAAAGGACCTAATCTATTGGGGCAGGGAGCTGGGGGTCTAGTAAAGTTTTCCTGAGAAACAATGCACATGAGTTAATAACTAAGAAGAAAGTGAGGGCACTTGCAATGGCCATAAAACAAGAGGGACCATAACCCAGTCAAGAAACTAAGATATCTGAGTCTAAAGCAGAGAAAACAAGCACCTTTCACATACTACTGTTATACAGGGTAGGGCTAAAGTAGGTTTACAGTTGTGAGTACATGAAACACAGTTTATTCTTGATTATTTATTATTGTATTATTTTTCCACACAAACAATTGTAAACCTACTTTTGCCCCTCCCCATAGTATGTAAAATTACTGTATTGTGAGTCTCTGCCTGTCTCTCCCCCCAATACTGTGAGTGCTCCTGAGAGCAGTGATTTTTTTCCCGTATTAATCTTATTCTACATCCTGGGGCAGTATAGTTGGCACTCAACAAGTTTAAATATTGACTGAATAAATGAATGCATAAGTCAGTTAAGAATAAAGTCCTTATTAAGTAGCATCTGACAACCAAATAGGTCGACAAGCAGAAGAAAAACAAACTCTCACATCCAGTCTACACTTTTTCCCACTGTGGCAAGCCCAGTACAAACAAAATCACATGAAAATTTGTATGAACCATTGCAATTCATCGCCACTGTTAGAAAAGTACCATGTCCCAATAACTTACTGGGTCAATAATATCATCCTTGTATATATAATCAGCAATATGTTTTCAGGATTATGAGATCAATAGGTGTAGCAGTATATCTTTAAATATATATAAACAGTTATTTCCAGAACCAGTAATCACAGGCATTAAGCAAACATTAGCTAATCCTTTTCACCTAGTCATCTACTAAATAACAATGCTGTTGTACAAATTACACTATACCAAAAGACATCTCTTCTACTATGATGAAATGTAACTTAGGATTGAGATATACAGTTAAATAAACTCATTTAAATATATAGAGTAAATCTAGATATGGAGATTTTTTTAATTAAGTAAAAATAAAACCGCCCAACAGCCACTGGCTTTTATAATACTTACAAAGGAAACGGAATAGGGTTATAGCTGTTTCCTGGGAGCAAATTTGCGAAGATGGCTTTCATGGTTGATTTCTCCTTCACCTGGCTGTCTGTGGATCCCAGCAAATGTCCATCAAACACATCTAGGATGAAAAATATTCTACTTATATGTTAATATTCAGAAAAGTACTAAAAAAAGCATAACATATCAACTTCTTTTCCTTTCTGGAACTCAAGACATATGCACATGATAATTCCCAATTATGGTGTGAAATTTCCCTCTGGAATAATAACTATTATGAACTGAAGCAGAAAGCAACAGAGTAGCATACAGAGCACTGGCTCCAAGGGGTTCATTTCTTTACATTTTAACATTTCTGAAACTGAGACCCACCTACAACTGATGGCAGAGGCCAGGCAGCAGTCATGATGGAATTATTCCAAGCTGTTCATGTCACCACTTCAGCTCAATTATGTGCACTGTGGTTATTACATGTGAGTTTAATTGCAATTGAAAAGTTATTTTTAAAGTATGCACTACAATTAAGTAGTTGCTGCTTAAATAGAAAGCAAGGAAAGAGAGAAGCAAGGCATAAATTTGGTATTAGTGAAACACCTATTTGTTGTTGGAAAAATGCTGCAATTTTTCCTATCTTCTTAGAAGGCAACAATCATGTGCTTTATGGGATTTGAAAAAGTAATATCCCCAGAAAGTAGATGAAGCTGAATAGTATTTTGTTACTGAGATATTTACACGTCAAATACAGCAATTGAAGAAGTGATATAGTAAAAAGCTCTATCTAAAAGAGCACATTCAATAGTATAAAATTTGTAAATCCTAAGGAATGAGAGAGCATCGTTTCAAAGCATTCAGTGTGCTTTTCTCTTTTGGATGAAGTGCAGGGAAAGTGACTGGAGCTGTACCTTCGGAAATGCTGGCTGTATCCAGTTCCGGGGGCCCTGCCCCCGACTGCTCAGGCATGACTTCAGGGGGAGTAGGCAACTGGAGATGGGTAGAGCTGGTAGAGCTCTGACTGGACAGGGTGGTTAAGAAGCGGTCCTCTAATGAAAAACACAGACTTAAATGAGTCATTTAAAAACATTAAGTCCATTTATATCTGATAGCAATGTTTTTAAAATGCCAACTCATAGTTTTACTTCAGAAAACAAAGACTTTTGGCTTCCTAAAAACTATTTAGGCCATTTTAGTGCATATTTTAGGAATGGATAGAAAAATCCAGACAGGCTAGATGACTTGACTATGATCAGATCTTAACCAAGTCTCACTCCTACCAATATTGTTTGCAATACAACATAATGCAAAGTTATGTTTATCAGTTCAATCAATTTACTAGGGAATGAAATTATGACACTATTGAAAAACAATTACATGCTTATTTTCAGGGGGGGAAATTCACTTAATCATAATAGAAAAATGCCAAGTAGTGTATGAGTTCAGATCTTGTTCTACAAACACAGTCTACATAAAAACCTCCAAATTTTTATTCAATGCAATACTGTGAAAGACAGTTTAAGTCTAAAAAAGATTTTAGTGACGTAAAAATCTAAATTAAGCTTTGTAAGACTTCTGCAGGGAAACCTGGGAGCTGACTTTGGAACAAGCAAAGCAGACGTTCAACCTCTTTTCTGCTTCGCTCTTTTCCTAAGAGCAGCCTTCTCCATTTATCATTTATTTCGATCTCGTAATTTCTCTTCTTGAAATACACTTTATAATAACTGTAAACTAACAGTGCCACAAATGCTCTACAGGAAGGAAAAAAGTCTATGAACTGCATCAAAAAAATTCTCAAAATTAGCAGCTAAAAACAACCACTAGACAGAAATGTCTCTAGTCCCAACGGCAGGTGAATTTAGGCTCAAGGACCAACCTTTTTCTCCGTTCTGAAGCCCTGGAGAAACATTCCGTGGAGACGCATCCACCGCACTTATCTGTACAGAAGAAAATACTCTGTTCTTAAGGGAACATTAAAACCACTTTCAAAAAATTTTTAACCAAGTGAATCTTAAACTTTTTGGTCTCAGGACCCCTTCAACCTCTTAAGAATTATTAAGACACTCAGCTTTTATGTAAGTCATATCTTCCAATTTTACCTTATTAGAAATTAAAACTTAAAGTTTTAGAAAGTACATTTATTAGTTCATTTAAAAACAGCAAACCCATTATATATTAACATAAATAACATCTTTTATTGTTTTTCACTTTTACAAATACTTTAATGTCTAGCTTAATAGGAGACAAAAAAATGCATCTGCATCTCTGGCTTCTGCATTTAACCTGTTGAGCTATATTATTACCATTGAAGTATATAAAAAGAAATCTAACCTCACACCAATACGTAATTGAAAAAGTGAAATCTTGTAGAGCCCTCGAAAAGGTCTTAGAACCCAAGGGGTTCCTTGAATCACACTTTGAGGATACTGCTCTAAACTAGTGATTTTCAACCAGTGTACCACAAGAATTTTTAAAACATACAATTCCTGACTATTTAGTCAGGGACACTGACCTCTTCTCCCTCAGATTGTCAAATAAAAAAATTACAACAGCCAACACAACAACAGCTGTACAGTGTGGATGAATCAAAGTTATATTTTTATACCTATTTTTTTGTCAGATCGGCAAACAATGTATTTTTTGGTGTGCCACAGAATTTTAGTAATTAATGTGTGTGTGCTATGAGATGAAAAAGGTTGAAAATCGCTGCTCTAAACAGTAGCTCATTAAAACATCTTAGGAAGTACTTATGTTTATCCATGAAGCCTAATAATCTTTTATTATCCATGGGACAGTTTCAAGTCCAGCTGCTAGTGGCTAACTTGAACCGGATAGTCAGCTAACTTCTGAACCTTGACCTCTCCCTCAAATTTCCCACCCTCCTCATCGGGAGGTGCCCTTGCCTTTTGTCTGACCAAACTGTTTTCCCTTCTCACCTGCATATTTACCCACAACTGCCCTCACCTTGCCTCCTTCGTGCCTATTTTAGAGGTCGAGATTTCCCTCTGTCTCATCTGAGTCTTTCTCATGGAATACCTTCGCTCCCCCTCTGTGTTGTCGCCTTCTCCACTGCATCTAAATCTGCTCACATCTCTGCTATTATAAAACAAAATCTGTCCATAACCCATTGTTTCTCTCCAGCTACCAGGTCATCTCTCCTCTTCCAGAGCCCATACTTTATTTTATTTATTTAATTTTTTTAAATATATCTTTATTGATTTCAGAGAGGAGGGGGGGGCAGATAGAAACATCAATGATGAGAGAGTCATTGATTGGCTGCCTCCTGCAGGCCCCGACTGGGGATCGAGCCCGTAACCCAGGCGTGTGCCCTGACCAGGAATCGAACCACCATCTCCTGGATCCCAGGTCAATGCTCAACCACTGAGCCACACCGGCCGGGCATAGCCCATTCTTTAAAAGCATCATGTTCATCCTGCCAACTGATGGTTGTTGGTGCCAATTCAATACCAACAGGAGTCCCCGACTCGGGTGTGGTGAAGAAGGAAACTTGATTCAGTGCAAGACAGCTCAACTGTGATACAGCACAGCTATGGGAGAGCGTGGCTGCAGAACACCCTGGGGCCAGGCCCCACTCTGGCTAGCCAGCCTGCTCTGCTCTGCTCCACCCGGTCTGCTTTGTGCTGCACTAGTCCGCTCCACTCTGCTCTGGAGAGACATCTTCGGTGTTTCAGCTCAGCCAGGGATATGCAGTCTTTTCCCACCAGAAGGGAAACTGCACTCAAAACTACATTATCTTACCTTGCTTTCTTCCCCCTGTCTCAGTCTTCCAGGACTTGGAGGAACTGAAGGCCGCTTTCTACCTTTTTCCTGCTGGAAAAGGTCCTGCAACCTACAGTTCAAGGAAAAGAAGAAAACAAAGAACATGGTTTTGTTTCTGATATCCTCAATAACATTACAAATTTTCTCCTCACAGCTTCAAAACCACAATAATTACATTTTCCTATCTCGATTACAACAGATTTTAAGGCTGCACATAACTAAGTTTTTGTCTTATTTCTAATCAACTAATCAAGAGCTGTTACTTTGACTACAGTAATAAAAGAATAGCAAGTTAGTATAAGAGACAGAATAACATAATATAAAAAACATAGGCTTTAGAGACCAATACACGTGTGCTCAAAGTCCAGCTCTGACAACTGGCATCTATATAACTTGGGCACATCCCTTAGTCTCTGAGAGCCATGGTTTGCTCCTCTGTAAAATGGAAACAGTATATACATTGTAGGACTCATAAGACCAAATAAAAGAGTGAACGTCCATCTAGTGCTTAATTAGTGCCTAGCAAAATCCAGTGCTCAATAAATAAGTGCTATAATCATCTGACTGACCATTTAAATAAGTATTAAAGGGAAATATTTCCCAAAATAAATATTTAAATAAAGTATACAATAATTCAGATATATTAGATTAAATAAGCACATATACTGTAAGTATTTGAAATAATACTGAAGGCTGTTCTCATTTTTGTTTTTTAATTTTCACAAACTACCTAAAGATTAGCCTATATATTTTAAAAGATGAAAAAATGCGGGGTAATAATGATGACAGAAAATAAAAGCTTCTACAAATAGAGTAAAATAAAACATGCATAATTAACACAGACACTTAAGTTAAAGATATCATGGCAGCCCAGCCCGCGTGGCTCAGCGGTTGAGCATCGATCTATGACCCGGAAGATGGCGGTTCTATTCCCAGTTAGGATACGTGCCCGGGTTGCGGGTTCTATTCCCAGTTAGGACACGTGCCCGGGTTCTGGGCTCAACCCCCAGTGGGGGATGTGCATGCAGGAGGCAGCTGATCGATGACTCTCTCATCAATGAGGTTTCTCTCTCTCTCTCCCTCCCTCTCTCTGAAATCAATAGAGACGTATTTTTAAAAATTTTGTGTGTTTTTTTTTTTAAGAAAAAAAGACATCATGGCAGAGCCCATTTTGTAATAGTAGTAAAGCCACACGGGATGCACGGTCACACCTGTTATTCCAGGCTTGCAGCACCTCACAGAGGCTCTGCTTCTTGGCAATGAGTGACTCGAAGACCGACTGCAGCTGCTGAGGGGCATCCCCAGAGGCAGACATGAGCCTCGCTTGCACCTTCTCGATCCAGCTCTTGAACTCACCTTCTTCCATCTGCAAGAAACAGAAACCGTTCCAGCCCCACCTCAGACATCAGACACCCCCCAACAATCTTCCAGTGAGCTGATAGTTAACTTTGGGTTTCTGTGAAAGAAATTACCTCCTTTTGTGCAAAGATATCTTCCATTTTTTCCTCTCTTGTTTTGCTAAAGGTGTCAGTTTTCAAAGATGCAAGTCTTTCATCAATAGCAAGATATACCTGTGACACTCTAATAGTAGAAAGGATGGCAAACACTTTAGAGAAGTGGAATTAAGTTTTCCAATCTCACAAACAGAAAAAAAATGCCACACACAAAACTTTAATGATAATGTTCTATCTAATTAAGAATCATATACCATTTTGCAGAAAAAAGACCAGAAAGGATGGACATCAAAATTTTAACAGTTATGTATGAGAGAGCTTGTCTTCTTCATAATACTTTCATATATTGTCTACATTTTATATTTTTGTATCAGGCATATACAGCATACAATTAGAAAAATGCAGTTATTTTTGTTTTCAAAGAAAGCTAAATGAGCAAACCTATATTTAAAACAGGTGTAGAGCCCAGCCGGGCATGGCTCAGCGGTTGAGCATTGACCTAGATCCAGGCGATCAGGGTTCGATTCCCGGGTCAGAGCACATGCCCGAGTTGCGGGCTAGGCAGCCGATCAATGACTCTCTCATCATTGATGTTTCTATCTCTCTCTCCCCCTCCTTTCCTCTCTCTGAAATCAATAGAGATATATTTAAAAAAATAAATAAAAATAAAATAAATAAAATAAAATAGCTGTAGATTACAGGCAGTCCTGAACAAAAAAGATGATCAAAGAAACTACAACTTACTTTTGAAAAAAGTCCTTCAAATCCTGGAGAAGAGATACTTTCAGTGGCGCCTGGCGTTTAATAAATACTTTGGGGAGTGGGACGCATACTTCAAGGAGCCTAATGGGAGAATAACTGAGAGGAGAAAATACAATAGTAGGAAAGTGAAAGCACGTTACTATTTTGAGTAAAGTCACATCATGATGGTCAACTAAATCCTATGAGGCATAAGAGATAAGTTTCTATAAAATGGTGCTTTAAAACAGTCATAAAAACACTGAACACAACTTTCAGCCATTATAAATATTCTCCCCAATTCTGTAAGGATTTTGTTTTGTTCGTTTTTTCACTGCACCGTGATGTCATCTTTTAGGCCCCCCAGGCTGTCCTCACGTGCTTTAAAAACAAAATGACTGGGATATAACCTCTGTGAGGACATGACTCCCTCCCACAGCTGGCTCGGACACAGGTATTCACCACCTTGGCTCCTGAGGATTCTTCACAAGTCTTTCCTTCCCACCTAGAGTTTATGTTGTCTAGTAAATGCTATAACCCTCCTAGGCCCTAGGTTCATGGTTAAAAGCTCAGGCTTAAAAAAAAGAAATAGGGTCCAATTACAAGTATTTCCTATTGGGTATCAAGTGTTGTTCTAGGTACTGAGGATAAAGCATTAAACAAGCGCCAAAATTTCCACCCTCAGGATTTAGAAATAATAAGATCTGAGTAACAAGACAAATAAATACTTAAACTATATATCATATCAGATGGTAAGTGCTATGGAGAAAAATACAGCAGGAGGACAGCAGGAAATGCGAGGGGTGAGAGGGAGGCAGGGCAGGTGAAATCTGAACTAGGACATGCAAGAGTAAGGAAAAGCAGGCAGATACCTGGGGAGCGGGCAGTTCAGAGAGGGAAGAGCAAGTGCGAGGCTCCCAAGTAGGAACCTCCTGGCATAACCGAGGGCCAGCCAAGATGCAGGTGAGGCAGCAGCCAGATGAGCAAGGGGAGAGCAGTAGGAGGTAAGAACAGAGAGGTACTGGGCAGCCAGAGCGTGTAGGAGCTTACAGTCCATAAATGGGCTCTGGATTTCACTCAGGGTGAAACAGACACCATCAGAGGGTGTCGCCTAAGCTGATTTTCATTTAATAGGATCATTCTGACTGGTGTGTGGGGAAGAGGCTGCAGGAGTCAAGGAAAAGGGAAACTGGTTGAGGCCACTGAAATAACCCAGTGAAAGGTAACAGAAGCTCAGTCCAGAGTAGAGCTGGTGAGACGTGTTCGAGTTCTGGATACATTCTGAAGGTAGAGCTTGAAGGCTTTCTCAAATCATTTAATACCACAGTGTAGCTACCCATCTCTGAACCAGAGATTTTAGCTCTACCCAGAATATCCGATTTTCCTTATGCCAGTTAATATCTTAGCAAAAATTCTGACAAATTCTCAGATGCAAAAGCAGAAACACTGGTTAAGAGTAACACCTTGTAGTAGCAGATGTACTAGTTCATATCATGACTCCATCACTTGCTAGCTTTACAAGTGAGCTAATACACTCTCTAAGTGAGGGCAATAATAATCCCTTTCTCTTAGGGTAAGGAGTAAACAGAATAATAGCACTAGAAGCTTAGCACAGGAGTATGGCCCTCTGCATTTGCAAAGGCAGGGGTGGGGAACAACCCATGCCACAAATTAATTCAATCTAGTAATAGTGGAAACGTTACAAAGCCTTCTAGGGAGTATGTGATTGCATATAGTCGCTCTGACTTCTCACCTGAAAGATGCCACCATCTGGTTATAGGAGAAATACTGGTGGTAGTCATGGTGGATGGAGTGACCGCATGGCTCAGCATTGGCTCTGCGAGTGTACTGGTGCCCATAAAACCTAAGTTCAAGGTATTTTGCAAATGACATGGACCAGGACTCATTGGAAAGAGCAACAACTGGTGTTACCTGAAATTCAGCATAAATCATTTGTCATCTAATCACATATTGAGAATCTCTTTAAAAAAATAATAATAATGTTATTTTCTTTTCTAATACAAATCTAATATAGTCTGACCGCAGAAACCTGGAAAAAGAAATGTTTAAAGGTGGGTGAAGTTAGGGATGGCTGGGAAGAGTAGCATCACCAGTGATCCGATCACCAACATCAATATGATGAACTTCTTTCCCATAGTTAGTTTCATAACCTTTTATTATATTTACTTAGCAATGGATCATAAATATGTTCCCACATAAAATACTCTTATACAGATTGGTTGTTAATGGCTGCAGAGTATCCCATTATATGGCTATATTAACTAATCCCTACTGATGTGCATTTAAGTCATCACAAGTTTTTCTTTATTTTGATGAGGCTCTAATAAGCTTCCTTCTATATAAATACTTATAAATATCCATAACTATTTCTTTGGAAATAAATTAATAAAAGTAGAAACTGGTAGATCAAAGGACATGAGCATTAACATAGTCTTTGCTACTTTTTGTCACACAGTTTTCCAAAACAGGTGTACTAGTTTACACACCTCCAACAGTATCCAAGTACCAATTCCCCCACTTCTTACCAATCCCAGAAGTTATAAATCTTTGAAATGTGATTTCTTAAGGGGGAAAAAAAAACAGAAACACATTCACTGATTTTTATTTATACTTCTCCGTCTACTAATAAGTAAATGTATTTGCACAAACTACTGACCATTTGTATTAAGTTGCTTTGCCATGCCTTTTGCCCATTTTTCTGTTTTCATGGCTTATAGAAATTTAACATTAAGTGTATTAATGTTTGGTCATATATAACTTTTTTTGACACGTAGAAGTTTTTTATTTTGATGTAACATTACCTTTTCATTTCTAACATAATCCCAAAAGCAGAAGTTTCTGTTTTAAAATAAAGTGCGTATATCAAAGTATGCAAGATATAGAGTCACTCATTTAGTTCACTGGTCAATCTACAAAGGTCCACACATTCTACAACAATATAATAACAGCTGCCTAACAGAAACTAAAGGCCTATAAAAACAAGCATAAAAAGTAAGACTGATAATTGCAAGAAATGACCTCTTGGCTGTCTGCTTGCTGTTGCGGAAGGAACTAATTGACTGCCCTCTTCAACCACTGACATCAATGTAGATCACACTCTTGTTTTACCTGTAATTCCCACATGTGCACTCCAAAATAAGCCAATAAAGATACCAATGAAATGTGGCACATGCTCGTTGTAAACAATCTGGATAAAAAATATATATTAAAAACATACTATTGATACCAAATACTTCCTCTGGAGTTATAAAAGAAAAGCACACAGAAGAAATAAAACATGTGGTCCTTTTCCCAAGAATGTACATGAAAAACCAGTAGAGATGAATTTAAACACGACCTCATCTATATCTTTAAGATAGAAATGTGGATATAAGCTCCAACTTACACAAACATCCCAGCATACAGTACTTACTGGGCTACCAGTCTGTCTCCTCCCCTAGAGGAAAGGAGTCCTACATTGTACCCAGAACATACATCGGGCCAAGTGTTTGCTGAATGAATAAACAAACATAACTGAGAACTGTCAAGACATAATCTCCATATATTTTACTGGACAAGGTACCTGTATTTTATATGACTGATATTCTAAAATAGAATGTTCAAGAAACAAAAATGAAATGGAATGCACAGCACTAGAAGGCAAAATAAAAGCCAATGACAAATAATACATCCAAAATAACAGACCACCCTCACCTACGAAGAAGTACTACACAATAAAGAAATAAATATTATATGAAATATTATAGTCACAGGGTACATTTACCTGTTTGCAGATCCTGCACCAGGAATAGGTGAGAATTGTATGCTGATACCCAGGCACTGGAGAATCCAACTCTTTCAGGATTATCTGCACACAGCCTTGGCCATGGACAAAGCGCCGAATATGATGCACCATGGGGGTATCACAGAACATGCTAGGACACTGGTAAGAAGGCCTTTGATGAAAAGAAAGTCCTCACATTAACCATAGAACTGAGGAGCGATGTGTAATGAATTTGTCTAATCAGAACCACTGTCAAGAAAGGGCAGCATCCTCTCTAGAGTAAGAATGACTGGTGGGCAGTCTGCACGGGGCTCCACTTGAAAGGACTGCTTGGGGCCTATACGTGGACATCCTGTCTTCAACTACAGCACGATGACAGTTTCCACTTGTTAAGCACCTTCTATTTGCTGAGCATTTTTAAAACATCAACTCATTTTACCTATTAAAACTCCTTCCATTTCTGGAGCTTGCTATTCCCTATAAAGGGGGCTAGTAAAGATCAAGTTACTTGCTCTTTGCAATGTAAGTGGCAAGTGATAGCACTAAGACTTAAACCTGAGATCCTATGCTTCTCTTGCCTCTCAAATGAATCACTACAAAAACACAAATCCTAAAAAAAAGTCTTAGGGTTCGCAGGATAGATGGGCACAGACTTGAGGAATGGAACTGGGTAAGACATCCCGGGTTGAGTATGAAAGAGACTACTTCTTTGCATGTGGTATGAAAGTGAAGGCACACAACAATGACTCATGTCTATGCTTTAGGTTGAAAATCTAGGCATCGAAAAAGCATAAATAGAAATATAAAGAGAAAATTTGCTCTTACCTGAAACAGTATCTCTCTAAAAATATTCCTAAGGTAAGATCATTCTTTCCATAAAACTCCATTGTTACAATCCTAAAGGAAGAGACCATTTCTTAGTAATGTACCATAGGACTTGCCACACAGCAAAGACATTTCATGAGACTACAAACATTATCTATTAGATGTGCTTATGATACAGTGTTGATGCAGCTCATATTCTTTTGTTGTTACAGAACAGGTTTCACCTCAGCTGATAAAACAAGTTTAGACTAGCCACACTTATCTATTAGCATCTTATCCACTCCCAGTCCATTAGTATCTTATGAAACTATTTGATCACGATGCAGAAATTATAATAGTAAATGAGTAAAAATTCCCTTTGCAAAGCCTTATGCCCTGTCAACATAAAATGGGACTCCTGTCTCCTGCTCTCTAGGCCACCTTACTGAGCCTGGTGTATAGCAGCTGAAATTCTTCCAGGAGAGCCAATTCCTAGTTTTATACCTGACTGATAAATGCCCACGAATAGGAGAGTTTCGCTAGACCCCTGCTGAAACCCACATCTTATTCAAGCCTTGACCTGAGGAGTCCATATACTCTGATGGAAAATTCCTGTGGGCTCCCTCAGCCCTGGTCACCTGCTATAGGTCTGTTGATACCTGAAGAATCCCTGATCTCACTGGCAGGTATGCATGTCTCTGGTGTCCAAAATTAAAATATGGAACACATTTTGTCATGAAAACTGTGCTCCAAAAACAAGCAGTTATGTTCCATAGTACTTTAAAACTAAAGATAAACTATGTAATAACTAGGCTTTTGTGACTATCATTTGAAACAAATCATTTATAACATTATAAAATGTGTTTTGTCTACTTAAGATTAAATTTTGGAATAAAATGTAAGGCAAAAAAAAAAAGACTGACTGTTTTTATGAAAATAATGCCTAAGGGAAAACCTGCTTAAATTACACATTATCATCAAAATGCTGAAAACTAGCTTTTGTATCACCTTTTTTGCTTTTATAGTAACAAATTTCTTTTCCAGCCTCACATTCTGTTCACTCTCAAGGTAATCTCACTTATTTCTTCCATGAACAAATGGAAATTTTATATTTAATTCACAAGTTTTAAAAGTTCTATTAACTCATATATGGCCATAGGCATGCCATGTACCTAAAAACAGATCCTTGGGGCGGAATTTTTATTTAAAGTTCCTGGAATTCTGTTCGTAGGTAAAGTGCAATAGTGTAGGGGACAAGAATCCTACCAAGGGCTGACACAGGCACTGGGCGCGTTGCTGGACTGGGCAGAGGAGCTGCTGAAGAGCACACACAGTCGCTGGTGGTTGATGGGGTTCAGACAGTCCACCTGCAAGAGGAGGAGCGGATGAGCACCCACAAATTGTAACACACTCCAGGTCCAATGCACGTTTCTAAAACCCAGCACACCCCACTCGATTTTGAAAGCCTCCTATCTGTAGGGGTTCTGCTGAAGATTTCAAAGAAACTAAATATAAAGGAAGAGCAGTTAGTTTTTGTGATAAAACAATTCAAAAAGTTTAAGTTAAACTTAAAATACAAATCTTTGCCTAAATAGCTTGTTTTCTTAATACTATTTATTTTTACAAAACTGCATTATTTTGGAAATATACAGTTAATATGAAACAGTCTGAACTAATGGCTGGATATAATATCATACGGATATCAAAATTCTAATGTATTTACTTATTTGTACTTTATACACGTTTTTGATCATTACAAAGGTAACGCCTGCTCTCTGTTGAAATTCAAATAGTACAGAGGTAGATGAAAACATTCATGGAGTTTTCTCCACCTTTGAGGCCACCCAACCCCCCACAAATTGACAAATTTGACCATATGGTTAAAGGCCATGCATTCTTGCTGCTAACTCACACACACATACACAGAAATCCCCACATAAGTATACGCAGGAGATTGTTTTTATAAAAATGGGATAATGCTACATCTATTAAAACACAGCTTGTCCTTTAACACTTGAAAATATACCATGGGCTCTATCTGGGTCATTAAATAAGATCTGATTCATTTTCCATGTTTTTTATAGCAAACAATAAGAAATAATACTTCAGTAAACATCCTTGTACATATATTGTGATGAAACACTTATTCATACAGAAATCGGTTACAAAAGATAGAAATCCTGCATCCAAGGTATCCGTGCTCATGTAAATTAATAGAGACCTAACACTTTTCATACATTACATAAATGTATATAAACAGAAATTTATATAAAGTTTATTACAGGCACTTTTCTGTACCTCATTAACCATGGCTCTTGCCATTTTCCTTTCAGCCAATCTCACCAATAAAACATGGTGTACCATTATGATCTGGCTCTTCCCTGAGTACCAGTGAACTTGGACATCTTTTTATTTGTTTTATCAAACAATTGCATTTCATCATCCAGAGATGGATTTGTTCATTAGTTTTACTGCCACTATTATCACAATGTTCTCATGAATGAATCTTCCTTAATGTGCCCTCATTTTTGTTTAAAAAGATAAAGGGCGCTGTCACAGTTAAGTAACAATGCAAAGTGTTTTATGTTTAAAAATGAATAAATCTAACTTTTTTTTAAAAACACATCCATTCCCTACAATAAGCTTCCATCACTCACTCTCCCCTTCACTATCGATAAAAGAATCAACGACACCCCACACTACACCCAAGTCATCCTCCCAGAAATTTTAAGCAGCTCCACACTTGCCCCTCCCTTGGAGCTCTCCCTAGTTTACCATGAGCTCAGCTTGAAACCCTCAAAACACAGTTTCATTACATTATACTCCTACTGCTCCATACATTTTAAAGCAACACGTAAGTCAACAGTACTAAGACACCAAAAAAGTGTGAAAGAAATATTTAATAAATCTGCACACAGTTTGTCATATTGATTTTTTTTACCCTGCCAGAAAGGGTTTTCGGCACATTCTAAATTTACACAAGCATGCAAATCGCTCCTGCTCACCTTTGACGACCACACTGCATCACCAGGAATCAAGCCTTTCTCTTCGTCACCCTCAGTTCTGCTTCCTGATTTGCCACTTGATGCACCTGATACATCCTTTGAATAAGCAAAAGGGTCTGCATTTTTCTGAATTCTTCCTCCTCTGGCCCGATAGTCGGCCAGCATCCTACCCAGGCTCTGGCTGTCACCCAGATGCTCTGCGATTCTAGTGCTCACGAGCTCATGCGAGGGCAGGACTTGAATAGACTTGGCCTGAACACTTCCGTTCATGCCCTGGAGGCCAGAGAGGTCCCTGAGCAGCTGCTTCTTCCTCCTGCTCTCCATTTCTTTGAACTCTTTATTGAGAAGAGGAGACCAGTAAACCTGCTCTGCAAAATAATCTCGGGTAGAGCATCTCATCCCCTTTTCCGTCAGAAGGAAGGGCTCCCGGAATGTGATGACTGGAGAGATGCAGAGGATCACATCTTTCAATTCCTGTTTAAAGGCCAAAGAATAGGTCTTCAGTTTATCTTCAGAAGGGGTAACTTCCTCGGTAACATAGAGGCCAGTGTCATCCTGCAGAGGGTCTCTAAAGACTCTCATCTGGCTTTTGGGATCCTGTAGCTCATCTGTTTGCTGCCAAGTCTCAGGCTGCTCGGTGCCTAGGGCACCCTGCTGGTCGTCCACATGGAGCAGCAACAGTGATTCAGGTACTGACGGAAAGAGAGCACAGGGGATGCCCGCCGGGCAAGCTGCTGCGGCATGCTCCTGGTGCTTCACAGAGGCAACGTCCTGTGGAACACTTCTACTCTCCTGGTCACCCTTCTCAAACACAAGCCCAGACTCTAGTGAGCTGCCATCATCAGAGGGAAGAATCTCCAATGGGAAGTCAGGCTCCCGGGGCAGCGGACTTGCGCTGAACGGCTCTTGTGCAGCTCCTTCTTGAGCATTCTCCTGCCCCTCAATCAGAGAATGAAAGGAAGGGTTTTGTGTTAATGTGGGAGGCATAGCAAACTCATCCATGAGGAAGGAGATTTCAAGTTGAGAATGATAAGCTACACAGATCATAAATATGAGGATCTCCTTAACTCGAGCCAACTCATAATCGGAACCTCCACTAAGCTTGATTGTGCAGCCCAGGTGCTGTGGACAGCCTTCAAAAAACATCAGTGTTTTGGTTTGTTCTACAGAGAAACAAACAGAAAGTTAAGAACAGGTGGCAATACAGAAGTCCAGAAAGAATGAATTCAGTATGTTAACATCTACGAGCAAAAAGGTCACAGTTGCCTATCTTCATTTAACCACTGCTAACAGACATTTCCTACTAAGTGAACACTGTAGTACGATGAGGTTACTAATGTCCTCAGGCCCCCAATCTCAGGTGAATCTATGCTAAAGATCACTCACCATTAGGCAACTGAAATATCTGCATATAAAATTTGTGACAGGTGCCCAGGTGGGGTTTTGTAAGCAGCTGGTCCATTGACATCACTAAATCACCTTGGGTCATCCGACTGATTCGTTCTAAAACTTGCTAGAACACAGAAAAGCATTATATTACAAAATTAGAGAAGAATAAAATTCTTAGCAAATTTAATCTGGAAAATAGAAAATTTAAAAAATAACCTTCACGATGAATTTCTTTAATTTTAATAATTATATGACTTTTTCTGATTCTAGGTTAGTCTACACATAGTTGCTTAGAAATAACAATGTGTCCACTGAAATAAATGACTCTCATACTGAAAACATTATCAAAAGGCATTTACACATCATGCACTGGCACATGATACTATTGGGGGAGGGAATTTCTGGAACTAGCTTCTATTTGGAAGAGAGTAACTTGTCAAGGAAGACAGCATTTTCTGCTTGAACTAGTCCCCAAACAATATGAGGGATCAACAAATACCACGTAACTAACATCTAGTACATGTTTGGTCTAGTAGACTCCTATAATGAGTATTACATAATCAATCATACTTTCAGTCTGATAGTGAAATAGCTGCCATGCTTCCTGTCCTACTTTCAATCCACATGGTGCAGCAAAGAAACAAATAATCAGTGGTCCCTGCATCCCTAGCACATATGTATATACATTTAACAGCTGTGATTTAAAATGACAGAAAAATAAGAAAACTCACTGATTTTACATTGATGACCAAAGTAATGCCATGTTCCAGTAACATATCCTGGGCAATACGAGACACTGTTTTCTCGACTAGAACCAGTGTGGGTCGAACGTCAACTATTCGCTGCACATAATTCTTCAAGAATTCCCTTTCCTAAAGAGGATAATTCAGAAATATTATACTGGTACAATTCAAGACCTAGACTTTAAAATATCAGCATAGTTTGACTATTAACAGCAATCTTAAAGTTTTCTTCATCCATAAATAAATCTATAAGCAAATTAATTCAAATTCAACCAAGAACATTATTTATCTTTCCAAACTGTTGATCATGCTGAAAAGAGTTTCAGGAGAAATTCCATCCTTCAATTCACTAATTTTACTTTGAAGGATTTTTAATTCTTAATAACCTGTACTACAAAAGCCAAGAATCCAATTAGCTAGCTCTCAGAAGTTAAAAAAAAAAGAACAAGAAAACCTCATCTCACAACCCCTAAGATGAAAGCAATTTCTAAGTGTTTTTAATATAGAAGGATTCCCCGTTCTGCACTGAGGCTAACCAGAGTATCTATTCTCTTGAGTATCTGCATAATAACTCTCTAACAGAGGCTCTCTCAGCTACTTCCTAATTTCAATCTTACAGCAGATCATACTCTACCTAAAACAGTGATAGTTAAAAATTAAAACATAATTCCTAATACAATTTCATGACAAAGGCTTATTTTCAAAGCAAATCAATATAACCAGAGTTAAAACAATACAATTCATTAATGGTTTATAAAACTTCTGGGTTCAGACAGAAAATAAGTGAACATGTGAGCATGTTTGTCACTTCTGCTCCACCTGCCCGAAGTGTCTGCTGAGCAAGACTGTATTCATGGTCGGTCAGTGCCAGGAACGATGCATGAGCCTATTCCCTACAATGAACCTGCCCTATTATGAGTATATTTCTTCTCACCTCACTGTTTCCGTGATAGAAACTGTATATTTTCTAATTCTCCCATTCTTAACAAAAATGGAATTAATTTTATTGTGCAACTCCATTAAAGTATAACTAGAATAAGTTGACTCTATTAAAGTTTCTGGTCTCTGGTACACGAAGGGCAAATACGTTTCCTCTCAGTTGCAACTCCAATCAACTATTATGATTGTACGTTAGACACTATGATTAAAAAAAAAAAAAAAAAAAA